GATTTCAGTCCATCAAACACATCTCAGAACTGTGGTATCAATGGAACAACAACATAATTCAGGTAAGAACCATTTCAACTAAGTATTATGTAGTGCCCTAATCCAAATAAGAACAATATACAGAATAAGTAGCCATAGCCAGACAAACCCACCAAAACCCATGGACTGTGAGAGAAATAGTACAAAATAATCCACCTTGCATTATTTTACAGCAGATAAAACACCACACTGAAGTAACCATCCTCTGAAAGAAGCTACCAGAAGATGAAGAATACTTCCTATCATCTTTGTCTTTACAGAAGCCCACAAAATATTCGGGTATTTAAGCATATGGGCAGCAAAATAGACAAGTTAGAAAGTAAAAGAGCACAGATCAAGATGTTGCAGAAAGAAAGGCAACCATTAACCTTTACACATCCAAGACAGCTAAGCCTGGTGCAGTTTACTGAGCAGATGGAAGATGGAAACCTTATACGCAGCCTAATGGGATTCTCATGTTCCAGTCCAAAATGCACAGAGGGAAGTGCTATATGCATGGGACTTCACTGCACACACACACATACACCACCCAGCTCGACAGTAAATAGGATGCTACTGGGCAAACCTACCATTGTAGGGTAAAGAAGCTAGCTAGGAACATACAGGAGCAGTGAAGTACACAGAAAAAAAATGCGCCACACAGATAAATCACACCTTAGTCTACAAATGGCACTCCTCCAAATGTGCAATACACCAGGGTGAACGCACCCTGCGGGTAATATAAGAATACATAACAATGCAGGCTAGTATTAGCACATGGAAGCTACTCAGGCACAGGAGCACATCCTTCCAGCACAGATACGTTTCTGCTATCTTAAGTTGAGCTGACATGCAAAGCGCAGATGGACCCTAGTGCTCTGGCTCTAACCATGACAGGGTACTGGGGCTTTTCCACAGAGCTGCTCAGCCCAAAAGACCTGGTATTGCATTGCCTGCCTCTGAAACACTGTACAAAGTTTGTCCTTGTGTACTTCCTCAGAAGACAGAAACCTGCCGTTCATGGCTGACGGCTGAGATGGTGAGGTTTATGAATGTCTAAGGTATGTTGAGTAGTAGAACATGTCTCTCCATGGGCACTGTTTCATGACAGTTTTACTATAATAGCTAGCATCCCCTCTGGCATACTAAAGCAGCTGGGGAGGGCTGAGATGCATAGAGTTATCATGAAGAAGCTCCATATTAATAGCCTCAAAGAGGCAAATCTGTGTTTTACACCATGCTAAGCGCAGACGCTCTTGGCAAATGCCTTCACCTCAGCCCCTTTCTTCACAATATTTACTCAAATATACATTCCAGTTGTGTATGTCTATAAGCTGACGAGCAGCAATAGGACACTGGGGATTAATAAAATGTTTACAAAATACCAAACAGAAAAAATACTTATCCTGAAAGACCCAAGTATGCTCTATTCCAAGGAGAATCTTCACGGGATCCTGCAACATTGTCTTGTGGAAAATGAATCATGTCTGAATACATCATAACAGAAAGGTTTGTGAATCACTAACCCATCTATCCAGAGTTAGGTATCTGTGATGTAATTTTCCTGTCCCATCTGTGTAGCACAAGCCACACAGCCATCAGAAAAGTGAAGCAAGGTGTGCAAAGTAATGTGGAGGTAGGCAAGTTGCTCACTGTGCAACAACAGGGCTCTAAAAAATTGTTCAGAGCAGCCTGATAACTAAGAGAGGCACATACCAAACCTATTTCTTAAGCCCACAGTTATGGTAAAATATTCCAGAATCACAGTATAACGCACCTCTCCCTACCCAGAACTGATCCCCAAGACTGAAAAAAAAAAAAAAAAAAAAAAAAGTTGGCTCTCCTGTCCAAATTAAAGCATTCAAAGAAAATTGTTGGTAGTTTCTAGCACTGTTATTAATCTAATATCTGCTCATTTTTAAGTTGGTGTCATGGGTCAGGGGGAAGCTGGAATACTCCTGAAACCTAGTGTTATCCCTAGTGAAAAGGCTACGACAAATAGCAATGTGGTACCAAAGATCAAGCAGCAAAAAAACCCATAGAAACCTGACCTGCACAGGACAGAAATGGTTCCATTATTTAGTGTTATTACACAGTCCGCCCCACACCTTCTCCTAATAAACTGAATGGCATCAGGGAAAAGACAACGTTGCTTCAGTTATTGTGTTGGGGATAATGAACAATGGTCCCGCAGGATAGCAGCACTACTAGTCTATAGATTGTATGGCAGAAGGGACCATTGTGACCATGCAGCTTTTCTTCCTGTGCACAAAAAAGCTGTATGACTTTTCTGAACGAATTATTGTTTGACCTATTATTTGCCTGTTGGGCAGGCACATTATCCTGAATGAGCAATGTCCAGTGATAGAAGATCCAATAGAGTCTTTACATAGATTGCTTTAGTGATTACTTTCTCTCACCATTAAAGTTTTACAAAGCTTTTCTAGTTTTATATTTGTCCAGCTTCAATGCCAAACACTTTGCTGCTCTCACACACTGCCTGCTGGAGTCCTTTTGCTCCCCATATAACTATTACACTTGCTGAGCAAGTTACCAGTTAGTTATCATTTTATGAAGTAAGATTGTGTGAGGTCTGTTCCAGGATAACAACTACTTAACACTATCCAAACTCTCCAATTTATCAGTTGTCCTTCCTGAAAAGTGGATGTCAGAAACCTGGATTTCTGGCTAAACTATGTTCACTGTTCTGTAAGAAATCACAGGTGCTTGCCAATCAAAACATACCTCTGATATACTTGGTGATATTGGGACCAATAGATTAAGTCTGACAACCACCAGAAGTGCCAACAACTCACAGAAGTGTGTAATGGGAACACACAAAGGTCTCTTGCTTTCTTCAAAGCTTTTGACAGGGCCTCTTTCCTGTAGTGAACTAAAATCTGACTTCACAGCTTTTTTTTATTTTTTTGAATGTCCGTATCTTCCTCTAGAGAAAACTTCAGCAATGAGTAATCAGACTGTATTTCTGCCAGACTGTGTGAGCTCGCTATTTCTGCAGCAGTGTTAGTAGCCACAATGACAGATGAGCTGTGGTCTCTGAGATAGAGGCATTAATAGCTTTGGACTTAATCTGCTCTCCTCTAATGTCTGTGCTCAGTCTACTGTTGTACAGCAAATTTGCTGCAAAATGGGGAAAAGGGGAAGATCATATAAGCACGATGGCATGACAAGGGATACAGCAAAAGTGCCCTCTCTATCATGGAGTAAAATCGAACGACACACTAAAATGAAGCAAAATAACCAGGCAAACACCTGCAAGCAGCCTTCCCGACACACAACGCAGCCCTTTCAATACCAGAGAGGACAGCAAACAAACTGGTGGACTACGAAAAAGGTCTTGAGATTCCCACTGCATTCATAGCATGGACACAACAAGCCAGAAAATGGATCTAAAACAAAAGCCCACAACACAGTACGTTGTAAGCTTTGAAGAAGACGACAAACTCCATTATTCTCTAAAAGGACATGTGGTCATGTGCTTTCATTGCCTGTTGCTGACAGAGTCAAAAGTGCTAGCACACATCACAGTAAAATAAATTCTTCCAGGGGCATTTCACTACCTTAACAGTTAATGAGTTATACGTTATGAAGGTTCAGAAGAAAACCAGGAATTCAGAAGTCTCCAGCCAGCATAGACATAGCTGCATGTAGGACTGTGGGAAATAACTTTATCCTGAACAGCAGGCTATATTTTGCTAAAAAATGCTTTGTACTTTCATTTGCTGAAGCCTACTACATATATTTATGGATATAGCATTACACTATCTTCTGTGTTTTGAACTGCCATATCTTCCAGGCTAAGGGTTTTCCTACTTAACAACCTCCATTTCTTCTAGAGGGTAGACCTGGAAGAAGGATTGAACATATTTCAGCAGCATCTGTGCAACCTGCACATCACAACAGATGGTGTCTGCATCTAGCTGAAGGGGGACCCAATATACTTCCAGCTTACAGAAGTGCGATTTTTCTAAGCAGAAGGCTGGTGTGATATGAAATTTGGTGACCCGAAGCTCTGTGACACTGGTGTTGCTATCTGTAAAGTCATGGTGTCTACTCCTGACAACCATTAACTGTGGAGAGCAACCACTTTGTTTTCAGGCCATTAGCAGAGTCTTGGCTCACAGATTTGGATGAGCTGGCAGCTCGGCTTTATGCTGAATTAGTTTGATACAAAAAGAACTATTAGGACTCATGTTTCACGTTTCTCAAAATATACAGTGTAGTTGCTTGGACCTCTTCTTCCTTGAACATATGCTCCTTTACCAGCATCCTCCTCCTTTCTTTTCTACTCCAGACTAGGAATTATTTGGTGACTGCCACTTTATTTCCTATTTCAGCCGTACGAACAAAGGTTATTCTTACACACCCCACCACCCCTTTTCAACAAGAATAGAGGTGCTTCCCTCCTATTCTGCATGAAACTCTCTGATATCTGCAGTTTCTAAGGCAGAATTGCCAGTTGGTCCTGGCTGTTTCAGCACATTTCTGCACAAGCTCTTCCCTGCCACCACAATGCCACACACCGTGACAAGCAGCCACACAAGAACCTGAGGCAGCCTGGCATTACACCTGGGAGGACTTCAAAGGGGACTGGTTATGTGAACAAAGATAACTCACGAGTAACGCATTCTACCACTGGGCAATTCCCCTGTTTTTAGTGTATACCCACACAGAATGACAGCTTTCTGTGGGCTATTTTAGAACATAAATTCAACTCTTGCTTCCGGTATGAGGTACAGGTCTCATAGCGTAAGATCTGCTTGCTGCATGCATTTATTTACTTCACATCTGAGAGTAGTCTTACTGGATGGTAACATACAGTGGAAAATGCTTTAAAAAAAAGTACACATTAGGTATGACACATTCTCATTTACAGAAGCAAAGGTAAAAATGGGGAAGTAAGAGCAAAGTGAAAAAAAAACCAAACACATTTATTCAACACTACTGACTCTGTGTCTTACCTTCCTATGGGTCCCAGATCTCCCGAGTCCTGGCTGCCTGCATCACTGGGTGTGCTCACTGATTTCGAAGAGGGAGACATAGGGGTTGGGACTAAATAATGAAAATAACAGGTATCCCATGTTAACACATGCAGCGACTGCACTGATGAAGAGCAGTGTCAGACAAATCAAAACCAATGGACCAAAATGATAGTGGATGAATGAGTAGGAGAGTTTGAAATGGTGAAAGCAAATAAGGAAGGAAAGAAAAAGAAAAGGAAGAGAGTCAAGTGAATTTTAAGTCTTTTGGAAGTGTTAAAACTGATATGAATTTAGACAGGACTGAAAGCTCAATGGGAATCTATAGCTAATCAATGGAGGAGATATCTGTGGAAATAAAATAGGACTTGTTTTCTTGAGTAAAGTTGACTTGCAAAAGATTTTAAAGGTATGAAGAAATATCAGGGGCTTGTCTTGTCAAAAAAACTGAGTGAACTCTTCTGGTAAAGTCAAATAGGCAATAGTACAAGCATACTTTCCAAATTTTGAATTTAAATCAAAAGCCAGTGTCCATTAGATATGGTCTAAGGCTGCAGTGTGGAAATGACATCAAAAATGAAAGCTAAATAAGGAAATCCAGCTAAGTTAAAATCATTTCCCAAAGATGGTGAGAATAGACATTAGTTTTCTCAGTGATTGTGTTTTCTTAAGTAATTTAGGTCACAGAAAGTTTCCATTTTGGGTGGGACATGATTTCAACATTCAAGGAAAAGCTTCCCTTGGTTTCAATACTATTTGCCCAAGCTCTATAAATGATTTTTTCTTTGGCTTGCCAGGGCTTTTGAAGCATATTTCATGCAAAGGCAGTTTTGTTTCCTGAAACAGGAAAGGAAGTTCATAGCTCAAGGTCAGCCTGAGTTGAAGCTCTTCAGCAAGGAAACAATAAATAAAAAAGTAAAAATATCCTGATTTCTTTTAAAATGGTTTCTCAAAAATACTTAAAATGCAGAGATGGCTCCAGTCAAGAGTTAACGTAAGTATTCTTCAAAGCAGCCACATTGAATAAAACACAAAAAGGGGATTTATTGCAAGTGCGAAATTTCCCATTTGGTTTATATCATGTGCATTTTCTTTTATAGATTTAACGGAGTAAAACTATTTTGTTATGCTCTATAATGTATAATGACAGACCTGTCAAGAGATTTGGATTTTCCATGTGGTCAAACACTTCATGCAGAGTCTCACTAGAGACTGTCACAGAAATGACTGCAGCATGAGAAGTGAATTCATCTTCGTGACAGCCCTTTGGCAGGTTACAGGTATGTCATGGCTGTTTATATTCAGTGGGATCTGGGTATCATACATGTATGTGAAGACAGAATTAAAGCCTCCTTTATTTATATTAATGTATATTAATTTTGAGTGTATATACAGGGAATGAAAGAGGAGAAAATACTGTTGTTTAACTAAAACAAATCATCTTACATGGATTTTCATGTTCTTTTGACAGTATCAAACACAAAATAATTAAGAATTGATGATTTGCAACATGAATACATGTGTTTAGTTAATAATATGATAAGGAAATATATCTTAGATAAAAATGAATATTTTAAATGCTAGAACATTAAAAATCTGACTTTATAATATCACTATATAATTAACAAAAGTATTACAATTAATACAATTAATTAATTAAAATTAATACATTTAATACAAAAGTATTATGATACCTAAAAATAACCTAACCATTACTTGTCAGACAATTCTTCTGAGAAGTGGTATTTAGAAGCTTCAGTCACTATATCATAATTTATAAAAATATGAACTTTTCTCAATTAATGTTGGTTGATGCAAGTTATAAATTGAAATCCCAATTCAGAATGTCACAATCTACTTGCACAGGCCCCCAAGCATCTGTATAAGGTGCCTTCCTAAATCAAGGTTTCAGTATTTTGCCAAATTTTGAGTTTTTCCTAAATATTACAGGCAAGAATATCTAGGGGTAAAATCCTAGATTTAGATGCAATGATTTTAATGACAAGGCTTGATATCTTCAGAGGGGCCAATATATTAGCTAAAATAGTGAGAGTGATTCAGGATTCAAGGGAGCAGAAAGCACAGAAGAGGGACTGTCTCTTATACAC